GAATAAGGCGACCAAAATCAGTTGATTATCATCACTTTTGAATTATTTGTTAGATGTTTTGATTTTGCTGGGGAAGCATGTTAGCGTTGACATGTGGTTCTTCAGATAATCTGAATAAATCGCATGCTTTAGTTTCAAACTTGTATCAACGCACACTGTTTGGATATAAATTCATCGTGGTCACTTATTGGTTATCTTTATATACTTTGTTAGTCAAAGCAATATTAATTTAGGAGTAGTCTCATAGTAATGCAATCAAATCTAAAATGAATATACAGGATTAATAATCGTTGGTGTTAGTCCTTATGGACACAGTAATCCTTATGGTTATGATCGGTAAAGTATTAAAAATCAGTTTTTAAGATGCTTAGGTTAGTCGGTTCAAAATCAGTTAGTCCCATTCTTTCCCTATCTGTACATTCTGAACTGTTCAATGTTATTAAATCTACTATAACCTGTACGCCGAAGTTTCCTTTATATACCTGAAATCTGGGTCATCCACGTGTGTTTATTGAGTGACCCGAAAGCATCTGCTTCTGATTTCTCTGTTTTTAAACCCACGCACAGTTGTGGAACTACGACCCTATTGTATCCATTCCCAATCATATCCTTTATATTTAGTTCTTGAAACTGCCAGTGTTATTATTCGGATTCCACCTGGAACCCTTTTATGGTTACTGATGGTCCCAAGCCCGAATAAAGGTCAGTCAGTTGCAACGTAAAGAAGACTAGGGCTTGAAGATATTATCCAAGAAGTATAATTCAGTGAGATAAGGTTAGAAAGACAAAGGTACAGGTGCTGACTAATCCAGAAGATTAGGATTTGAGAGAGCTGAAAGAATGGATGCACTTGCGCCATTGCAAACGATTTTGAGCCATGTCGTTCAAGGTCTCTAACCATTGGTGACTTTCGTCTCGCGGACCCCAACCAGGTAGTCTACATCTACCAACAGTCAGTCAGTCAGATGCAACGTAGAACTTCGTACGTAAGTACATCAGTTCATGTCGCCATACCACATCAGCACAGAGATGTAATTGTCGATTCAAATCCAATAGTAGAAGAGGTAGTAAAGGTATTAGAAGTAATCGGAGAGATTAGGGTTCGAAGATTTTATTCAAGAAATATAATTTAGTGAGGTAAATTTAGAAAGACAGAAATAGAGGCGGTGAGGAATTCAGAAGGTAAGAATTTCATAGAACACTAAGAGTAAATGCACCGGCGCCATTGCAAACGGTTTTGAGCCATGTCACTGAGGGTTCTAACCACCAATTATTATCATCTTGCGGACCTCAACCAGGTAGTCTACACCTACCGACATGACTCATTCCACTTGTCAGTGACTTCATAGATTTCTGCCATGTTTTGGTTTGGCCGCCCCCAGCGTTCTTCCAGCTTACTCCTACACGGAGCGAACCACTGCGCAGTACACTCGTCCTTTAGTCAGCAAACGGATATCTCGTCTACGCCATAAGTGACCCAGGTTGACAAAAGCCAATCGAGCCTTCTGTATCCATGCTGAGATTTTGTCAGTCACCAGGCCATCGGCACTGATGAGACTCCCAAGATAAGTGAAGCGGTCTACACGTTCGACTACTTCACTCCCTATCACTAGTTCAGGTGCCGATGAAACCCAATCTTGAAGCAACATTTTGCATTTCGAGGGTGAGAACCGCATCCCGAACATGCTTGCATTGTTGCTTAGGGTAGTCAGAAGACTCTGCATTTTGTCAGCGTCTTCACCAAGTAGGACAATGTCATCGGCATATTTTAAGTCAATAAGCGAGCCAGCAGGTAAAAGGTCTACTCCTGAAAATTCAGACGAGGATAAGGTTATTTTTAGGAGCATGTCTATGATAAAATTAAACAAGAATGGAGAAAGTGGACATCCCTGACGGGCACCACTTGAAGTGAGGAATTCCGGTGACAGTTCGCCATAAGCTCTCACTGGACCAGCGGTGTTCGAGTAGAGAGCTTGTATAAGGTTAATGTACTTCTTTGGTACACCTTTCAATGACAGACACTGCCACAGAACCTCAGGACCCACTGAGTCAAATGCCGCTTTTAGGTCCAGGAAAACAACTATTGTAGGACGCCTAAATGTGGTTCTGTGTTCCAGGACCTGTCGTAGTGTGTATATGTGATGTATACAGCCACGTCCAGGTCTGAAATCAGCTTGGTTTTCTCTAGTCTGCTCTTCACGATCTCTAGTTAGGTGTTCCAATAATATTGAGGTCAATATTTTAGATACTATATTAGTTAGACTTATTCCCCTGTGATTGTCGCTAGAAGACTTTTGTTCTATGTTCTTAAAGACTAGGAGGACTTATATCGATTTCTCATTCAGGAAGACTGGAGATCGTGGGCAACGAAAGTGTGGCTGAAGGCCAGTTGAACTGATCCCTGAAGTGTTCTGCCCATTGGTTCAGTCTCTTGGATTGAGAATGGATTAGAAGAACATCCTTTCCATTAAAAGTCTCACTCACATTCGGGTTCCTAACACCGGTTTCTCTAATAAGTCTGAATTGTTGCCTACTGTTGCCTATCGCCGTTGTCTTTTCCATCTCCCTTGTTTTCGCTACCCATCTCTGTTCTCGATCATTGCTTAGTCTTTTTATCACCATGCCATTGATCTGACTCTGCTCCTCCACCTGCTCAGAGCCAGGAGGGATGAGCTTTTGAGCATCCATCAGTTCGGTAGATGCTACTAAAATCCATGACTTCTCCCTAACCTTTTGGTATACCTTACTAGAAGACATCACTGCTGTTTCCACAGCTTTTTGGATATTATTCCAAGCTGCCTCAGGGTGGGCATCACTTACTACATGGCTGTTTAATTGTTTTTGTAATTGTTCCTGAAATATATTCTTAGCTTTACCATTATTAAGTATAGCCCTAAAAGCTTTCCGTGCGATGTTTTTCTTGCGTCCAGTTGGGCGCAAACAAATACGCGCTCGCACTAGTGCATGGTCGGAGTCTAAACAAGTGCTCCTGACTGAGTGTCAGTCTTCAACAGAGGCTCTCCACCAATAGCTTATGGCCATGTGACCTAGTTCGGTCCATTGTTGGTTCAGCTTTGGGGTTGGCCAGGTTAAAAGGTGTTTTACCTTTTGCTTCAAGTTAGTGTTTGCTTGGAATAGGCGGTTATCTAAGCATAGCTGCAACAGATGGTCGCCATTATCTATTCTATTAGCCGCGACACCATCGCATCCACCCAGGTGTCTTTCGTTTTCGCTGAGTCTACCTACCTGAGCGTTTAAATCACCAGCCATTATTACTATATCATAGCGCTTAACATATTGGAGAAGTTTAGGGAGGTTTCTATAAAACTTATCTTTCATATTGTCTGGACTGCAGTCAGTAGAAGCGTAGGCAGATACTATGAAGAGGCAGCGGCGAGTGTCCCTATCCTTCCGAGTCCGTCCCGTCCCGTCAGACCAAGTTGCTTACTCTCACTCGTTGTCTTTCTTCTGATGGTTGACGGGACTATGAAGACCCAAACATCACAGAAGTTTGGAATATAGTGGAAGGCTCGGGCAAGCTAGACGATTAGGACTTTGCAGATGACCTAGCTCTTTCATACCACACACAGCAACGAGTGCAGAATTAGACGGCCGGCGGAGCGGCAGGTTTTGCAGCAGTAGGTTTCAACATACTTAAAAAACGCAAGATCCATATATACAATACAACGTGCACCAACTCAATCACAATCAGCGGAAAAGCTGTGGAAGAAATTTTTGTATACCTGAGCAACATCATTGATAAACAAGGCGGATTTGATACAGATATGAAGACACGGATTAGTAAAGCAAGAACATTATATCTACAATTCAACCAACACAAATGTCAAAATTTTCAATACAAATGTCAATGTAGCCTTACTGTGTGAATCTGAAATTTGGAGAACTATGAAAGCCATAATCCCAAAGGTACATGTGTTTCTTAATGGTTGCCTACGCAAGATACTGAGGATCCGTTGGCCAGAAACCATCAGCTACAATCTACTGTGGGATAGAATAAACCAGTTTCCAGATGAAAAGGAAATTGAGAAAAAGCGCTGAAAGTGGATAAGTCATATTGCAGAAATCATCCAACTTCGCCATGAAGCAAGCCCTAACTTGGAATTGTTGAGGCAAAAGGAAAAGAGGCAGACCGAAGAACACATTGCAGGTACCAGAAGAATTAATTATAATCTTCATTTACTTTAAAACAGTCTTTAATGAAATGTGGGTTTTGAAAATTATGAATTGTCAAAAATAGCCCAGAAATTTGCTAATTGGCATCAAACAAAACATGAGTTTCTTTTATGTGTTTAAGTTATCAGTAATACATTAAGCACATTCAGTTTAGTGTTTTCGGAATGCACTATATCGTGCATCATTAAATTGTTCACTTTACTTACTCCTGAAGAACATATGCGTACCTTACTACAATGACAAAATATCTAGTGTTATAATTCGTCGCCTTTTGCCTATTCTCTAAAATTTAATACACTTCATCTAGTCAAACTTGGTGAGATATGTTGGAAAATTACTGTTTGATCATCTTTAACATTTTGGCTTATTTTACTAATAGTAGTTTTTTGTTGAGTTTTTGAATACATTATAGTTCTTTACACCATGTGTATAATGTACATATTATTTTGTATTCATAACTATAACAAATAGTTTTATCCAATTAATATTATTTGTGGCTGATTGACTCACTTTTCTACTTTATGTATCATAGTTTTCTCATAAATGGTTCCAGAAATGGTGTAATAACTCCTGCATATATATAAAATTCAACAAGAGCCTTATTGTTCCCTACTGTTACTAAAACTTACGGGTCGTGAACAAATCCTAAAAAACCAAAGTAATTTATCGTATATATTTATATATCGAGAAAGATATTTGGCCAGCCTCATTATCAATAACTATATTGTTCAGATCAAATGGGCATCAAATTTTGTTAATGTTTAGGAAATTGTTTCCCTTTGTCTTCTTTATTTCGCCTTTGAAAGGCACGGGAAAGTCTCAATATTCCATGGGCTGGTGGACTTGGTTCTGCTGCTGCTCAAGCTAGTAAAGAAATCGAGACGCATTTTAAAGAAACTCGAATGATGCGTCGTGAACGAGCTCGGCTTGGTCAACCACTTTGGTTGGAGGAAGAATTCCTTGAAATCGTACCCTCAATGAGTGCAATCTGGGAAGATGAGAGTGTTCGATTAGCATTCGATCAACGTTCAAAAATAATTACAGAAAATTTCGTGAGTTGAATTAATTTTAGAAAGTATAATTTTCATCGGTTAATTCGTTTCTAATACATTTCTGAAGAGTTGCTTGTCTTGTTGTTTTATTGTTTTTGGAGATTTTATTAATTTAATATCCCGTTTGACTGGTACAATGATTTCGGAGTTAGGAACATTCTGACAAATGAGGATTCATGAGGATGATTTGAATCATAAAAATGGAGATCAAAGCAATTGTACTACAGGAAATCGGAGAGCATTTTTAATTTGATAATATTAACATAATGGTAATAGACTGAACTGTTATCGTTGAAGAAGCTCAATAGTAGACTGCCGCACATGATAGAGTGCATGTTTAGACTCTGATCATGATCTAGTTTGAGCACATATTTGAATATGTCTCACTGAATTTTCAAAAACTGTAATGAAAGCCACTCAAATTTCAAGTTAATGGTAAAAGAAAATTCAAGAACTTATTCTAAAAACACCTAAAGAAGGAGATGAATAACCATGAAAGTGACATAGACCCCAAGGACGCAAGGCTAAATATCAAAACAACTGTAGAAACAGTATTGGTATCTAACTGTAAGTGAAAACAAGAGATTAAGGGATACAGCGTATACTGAAATGGCAGATGTTCAGATAAATCCGGTGTGGCACCGTGTAGGTGTAGAGGTAATCTAAATTTAACCTGATAAGGGTTTAATAATAATAGGTAGAGAAAGCATCAGAGATGAAAAACACTAGCAGATAACATCAGAATGAACGGAAGGTAGATTAATGGGTAAAATGACACAAAATGGATAGGTCTTATTTGACGTCATACATTTAATCTATGTGATTGAAGATTCCTCCAAGCAGAGTCGTAGTATTCGATGACAGTCAACGAATAAAACTGTACTACAACAAAGTTTATCAAGTTCGAATTTAATGAATTCATAGAGAAGTAGTAATAAATAGGATAAGTTAACTCATTCACCGGATACTTGAGTCTATGCTTCATATCTGAAGGCTAATGGAACTATGAGGCTACTCGAAATGAAATAAGTTGAGTGAGATTAGGGTGGCCGAAAATCAAACGCTTCAATTGTCAGGTCGATGCTCAATGTTGCACATATTACGAATGCATGATTGTTTGTTGTCCCTGAGTAAATTACATCAGAAAATCTAAACATTATACACATGAAACTTAAAAATATATCCATTTTAATTCTATTATTGTTTAAAAATGAAATAACGTAAAGTACAAAATGTAACTGCTTGTTTGACAAATGAGACAGCTCAAAGTAAAACGCAATAAGAATAAGTTCTTTGCTATTCATCATAACAATTCAGTGATCATTTCAGAGTAGTCTTTTCAAATTAAAAAAGCAATTTTATCCACGTTTATAATGAGAAGTCCCTATTAATTATATATATATTTTGTCGACCGTGTCATTTGATTTACTTGTAAACATCTCTCTCTTTTTAAATATACACAATTGCATGTTACGTTTAACCACCTTCAGGTGAAAAGTAAATGATGAATGATGACAAGAAATCGAACTTCTATTTAACTGACACGTCTTTGTTTTACAAACAACACTGCTACCTTTCGTGATATAATGATATGCATTAGAGAATTTCCCATAATATGCATAGAAATCTCGTTCAACAGCATAAAAATGAATGCAATAGAAACAGTGAACAAAACAAGGTATTCCTTCTACTTGGTCATACAAAACTCATAGAATACCGTACCGTAGTTTCTATCTTGATTTAGTGGTCGAGCTTGCCCACCACGATGACCCAACCGAGCTATATTGGCAGGAACATACGTTTCCTAATGTCCTCCCACGACAGGCAGGTCGGTCGGAGAACGGTAGAGCTAAAAGCAACAAATCACAATCTGTGGGTGAATTAGTAATGCTGACTGTAGAGGGGTGCAACAATAGTGGGATTTGACCGTTGGACGATCAGCATGTGCTACGATTCTGCCTTCTCACAACGAAAGAAGCGGTTAGAAGTGGCCGAGCCAAAAACTTTCACACCTCACCTTGCCCCACGGATTTCAGTCTCTGACGAGCAAAAGTAACACTTAACAAACTTCGCACGAAGAGACTGTGTCTGACAAGCCTCAAGCAGTTGTTGCTTAGGCTCTGCGGCCACGCTCCTTGGCAGCTATGTCCAACGCTGACTCAACTTGCTTTTTAGGCTCCTGAAGAAATACCTTTCCACGGTGTGGGCAGCCGTAAGTGAAATCTGCCCTCATACTCGTAACAACATACAAGACCAAACTGGTCATAATCATATCCTTCCTACACCTTTTAATATTGCCCTTATCTCTACGACTTATTATTTTCATATTCCTTTATTAAGAAAACATTATCACTCTAAGTCGATTTATCAGACTCCCTAAGTTTAGTCTTTTGTCTAGTTTATCATGTTTTGTAAACATTAAAACCAAGTAGATGGTAATCGTACTAGGTTAATTCTAATAGTCATCTAACGTGTGATGTCGAAGCAATTTATTTAGTATGCATCTATCTTTGCTATTACGATTCGATTATTATTCTGTTGATAATTTCAGTGGTTCTTATTATCATATTTGATACTGTATTAAATAGTTTTCCCCTATTTTTTCTTGCACTTATTTTTAAGTTCACTTCTATTTCTTATCCTACAGAGCGAGAACACGCGCTATTATCTCAATCGTTTAAATCATATTGGTGTAAAAGTAAGTTTATTTGTAATATCGAAATGTCCATACTATTTATTCTTTCTATCATCTCTTGAATCAGATGTTTGATGCAAAATCTTTAGCTGAAGGACAGTATAGCAGTGAATCTCAGTAGTTACTTATTTTCTCAGTATTGAAAGCTAGTTATTCGTTTCTTGCTTTTCATTCAGAATAAAAACTGATCCCAGTTAAATTGCAGTAATACTTGTTGTTAGCATCATGGGGCATCAGTAGTATGCTGTTGATAAAATTCCACTACTGTCATAGGTTCTTATCGAAACGGTTTCGTATGTTTTAATCAATTTGTCAAACTTTTACATCACTTAAAGTTGTGTTAAAGAGTGTTGATTTTATAGTTAGGCTTTTAAAAGTGCCTACATATCTGTTTCCGAACCCATTCTATTTACTTCAGTTTGTGTAGCTGCTTAATACCAGTAGCTCTTAGTAAAAACTGTTGTTTCAAACTAATTTCACTAACCTGTTCTATTGGTAAATGAGCTGTATTACTACCTTTGCTTGTAAGCAAACACTTGCGAATACTAAACGCTGCTAATTGGTGCTAAGATCTATTTTTTTCGGAAAAGATATGTAAGCGATAGTCTGTTGAATAATTATCGCTCAAGTATTGCTTGTTACTTATCTCAACACTAGGCAAAACAGTCATAGATTATAGTCTGATATTTTTCATTAATTTAAATGATACATATGTTTATCAGGGCGCATTTTGAGGTTCGATATACTTTAGTATTGTGTATTAATGATAAGCACATACGAATAACATCAACTAGATGGAGGACTTGATATAAGTGCCACTTATATGATATAACCCAGTGATACATGGATCTTATGAAATTATTTCTATGGGAATAAAATAGTTTGACCAAACATTGTCTGTAAAACATATCTTTTGCCTAATCTTGTCCATTAACTGGTCATAATTTTATAGACAGAATTTACAAATTTAAACAATTTATTATTAGAGGTAATCCAGTGATTTGGTTTTCTGTTCGTTTTACTTGTGAACAAGAACTGAGATTTTGTGTTGTCTAATGAGTACGCTACTCAAAATTCCATTGCATCAGTATCATCTTGTAACTGCCCAAATTATTTTCATGTAAACAGTAAATTTAATAAATACGTGATAATAAATACACACGGAAGGGAGTCTGAGTATTAAGTGGATCTGAACAAGTGCTTTACATAACACCTAATAGGTAAGTTACAAAGTACACACTGGTGGGAAACCATTGTTAATCTTACACTATTTTTCAAATTTCTGTTATGTAACTCATAAACTTAGTGTTGTAAAAGGTCCTAGTAGAGATCAGATTTCAGTCAATTAGTTCACATACTTTGAAGTAAGGTTTACCAAACAGTTGTTTGCGATAATTTTATCTTACCATAATTTTAAACCTTTCTCTAAGTGATGAATAATCGTCGTATTTTTCACTATTGAGGCAATCAGAAATGTAACTGTATATTGGTAACTTAGTTTTCTAACATTTTCTAGCAATTTTTCGAATTTATGACTTAGCACATTAAATCTGAAGGTTTTACTTTCTTTCTTAGGTAATAAATATACGCTGTTAATAAAGAGGTTTCTAGTGTTCTATGATTTTTATTGGTTATCCGGCCGGTTTGGTGGTTTGTGATGATCAAAATAGTTTTTAAAATATATCCTAAAAAAGATAATTTTTAATTTTTAGACTCAGTATCAAGTAAAGTTGTGTTACTTTTTGGTGTCAATCTCTTTGAGTAAAATAGTTTGATTACAGAGCTTTTATTTTCATTCTGCACAATGTCTTCAGCGGTTACCTCTTAGAAGTGAAATAACTAGTAGCTCTCTTCTACTCAAGGTTGGCACTAATGATATTATCCAGAATGGCGATGAAAGCTCAACAAATACATCAACAACATCAAAAGCATCCTTAGCTACAGGTCTCCCTCATAATGTGCTCTATTTTATATCTGTACTGGAAAATAGCCGTTTAGAAAAGTTAAATATGTACGTTATTTGTTTTGATTCATCTCCATATTACTTGATAGAACTTCTGAATTAACAAACTGCATATGATAAGTAATAATGTAGATGAAGACTTCCATGTGTATATGAAGACATTAAAGACTGATTATATCTCACACAAACAAAATATTTTGAATTATACAAAATTATATCTTAGTGACTCGATTGTACGTGTACTGTAAATTGTAAAATATGAACTGTATGATCAGTAATGGTAGCTGACATTCTCACAAATTATTCTACGTGATACATTTCTGTTGTTCTCGTCTATGATAATTATAACGTTCATCACTTCTGTTTTATTCATTCTAACGTATTTCAGGATTTGATGTTTAACTTGGTATTGTTTAATTTAGCGAATTTTATCATACTTAATCAATAATTCATTTTATTGTCTAAATTTTAAAAAAATTAGTCCCTTTGATAAATGTTAGTAGTATGCCTCCGTCTTCTCATTGTTCCATCAACATTTTATTGTCGTTAAATAAATCTTATACTTTATTCATTGAGACTATCAATACCTATGATTTGTAAACTATGCTATTCTGCTAAATTGATAATTACTGCTATCTCAATATTAAGCTTAGTTTATTATAACAAGATAATTTTAACAACTTATATTTTGCTAATGGAAATTCACCAGCTTACACGCCAATAGTGCATTTCCATGAAGAATTAAAATGTAAATACATTCTTAATTGCAATCGAAATTTATAGATTATTGATTCATTTGTAAATTAGTTTTTCATGAATTAATGATTACTTCAAAACTGTACAAAAACTGATTACATCACCACAATACTCAATTCGATAGTCTGAAATTATTAAAAACTTAAGTACTTTACACCTCTTTTTTGTCAAACCTATTGACCGAATCGATTTCATTGTCAACTGTTCCGTTCACACTTATTCATGTATACTTGTTGTAAAAATAAACAAAATACCGAGACATTGTTTTTATATTTTATGTAATAATGTATTTGACAGTGTATTACGTTAATTTGTAACACTGAATTTTTCGAATCCACAAATTAACAGGATCAGCCGCAATTTTATTATAAAAAGCATTAAGAATAAGTTGTTTTCGCCTGAACATTAGTTTTCATTCATAATCTAATTAGGCTGCAGTATACTGGGCTTTGAACTTTCGGTTATCCAGACCACGTGATACAACATCCTGTTTTTAATTCGAACAGTTGATTGGAATTATTTCACATACAGTTTAAATAAGGTTACTGAGTTCCGTTTTCTAAATAAATATATTTGTGCTTTTTTTCACTTGTCAAGCTTTAAAGACATTAATAAACATTATCCTGAGTAATGATATCTACCAAAGAGAACAATGTTATTGAAATTTATATTGTTTCCCAAATGAATTTCTCACTGCTATAAATATATTACTTATTTCAAGCTCTTGAACATTTTTGATTGTAAATAAAGATGAAAGACTACAAATTTATATTTACTTACTAATTTAAACCGTTGACATTTCTAGTTTAATTTTTAATAAATTTTATTCCTATTTATATGTTTGTTTTCATTATGGTGTGCAGTAAATTGTGAAAATTTCTCCATTGATGTTTGGTTACAAAACAAATTTAAAATGAACAACTGTAAATATGTAATATCAAGTAGATTTTCCGAGAAAAGTAAGCTATTTCTTATGTTATATATTACCTGGATTGGGAACAGAAACTATGTTTTTAGTTTATTCTAAAGTTAATTTAATTAAACTGTACTTCACTATCAAATGTAAACTGTGTGAATAAATTCTTTCCGTATATCATCATTATTATATTACGGATTCATGAAACTGTTCTTTATTCTCGTTTACTTTATCTTTGAAATAGTTGTTCTAGTGTATTATTATTATTGTTAAGTTTTTCTTATAACATACAAACTAGTAATGATACAGAAGACTCATTTCATTGTTTAAACTAGACTAATTCGAAAAAGCTGGATATATTTAATCATTCCCTTTTGTCAAGGTGTTTTTTCGACTCTTCAATGAATGTCAATATTAAATATATATATGCTGAATCTAAAAGTGAAGGAATACATTTTCTCCCTCAGAAAAATCTATATTTAGCACCTGTTCTGTAAAACTATTGTTCTTATATGCAACAGCAATTGAGTTTGTCACCGCTATGCTACATGTGTATGGGTCTTTTCATTGAGGAAATAAACAATTAACCGATGAATAAATCACAAAAATGTATGTACTAGGTTAACTGATTTTGATATTCCTTTTCTAAACTTATTACTTATTCAATTCCTTTTAATTCATATTTAGTAAAAAATAATATATCTCACATTGTGTTTATTTTATGCTGCTTCTCATGTATAGAAAGTAAAATGGGACTAGTCATCGAATGGGGATAACACAGGTACAGCTTATTTGCAACTAAATATGTGATTTCCTTTCCTGTTGTTGATTTCTACTCCGGACTCATTAAGGGTGACTGCTTGAAATTGTGTTGACTAAAATATTGTCTTTTGCTTCCTCTGGTTCTCTGTTTTGTGTGTGAATAGAGTATCTGGTTCAGTGTGCATTTCGAGTATCCAACCCAGTGGTAATATAAACTCAATTAGCTATTTAGTCTCATTTTATTATTAAATTGTCGAAGTATACTGAGGAAGGAAAACTATTCAAATCAGGAAAACTCAGTTCAAATTAACAATTGGTTTATGATTTATAACTTTTACTTACATCCTACTGCATAAAAAATAGCATTTTATCATTAGTTCATCCTCAAACCATGATATATTTTTATTCCCTTTAAACTGTGACTTTCGATAGACGAATTAAATATATTCAAAGAAAAGATGACAATAAAGATACATTATTCAATTGATTTTTTTCCTTTAAATAGTTTTTAGTTAATGACATCATGATCGAGGTAACAAGACGATCGATGGTTATTCCATTGCTAAAATTGACAAACAAACAAACAAAATTTAAACTACATTTTATGATCTAAAAGGTTTTTGTGTGATAAATTGACTTTTCAAGAACAACTAATCTTTTAATAATCTACATTGGTTGTAAGAATTGATTTACTTCGTAAATTTATGAAATCGTTGTGAATAAAAGTTCCTTTCTTTTTCTCAATTCAACCTCCACAACACCATTCAAAATCAATATTCAAATTAATAGTATTGTTTACATAAGACACATATGGAATTTATCAATACACGATCAGAAATGAACAAATTGTTTTTCAGGTATAATTCTAAAAATTAGTGAACTTACGAAATATCAGTTATTTCTTAGACTGGATAACTGTGATATTGGTCTTTCTCTCACCTTAACTAACACCACTACATTATGTCACATTGTTTAAACAATAAATCTTTTTATCATGATTTTCATTATAATAATTTATTGGATTTTATTTATATTATGTACATATGTAAATTGATCTCTCTCTATCTTAGTATCTTTAATATGATATCTGTGTGATGTGATTAATGACAGAATAAATAATCAGAATTCTGTCCTTCATTATCTGTTTGATTTAAAACATATTCATTGATAGGAGAAATAAGAACAAAATGAAAAACAAAAAAGTATTCGAGTCAAAACGAAAAACTGATATTTCTATGGTTATTAGGACTTGCGTTTTTATCACGTAATGCTAAATCTAATATTTAATCTGCATATATTGACGATGTTTTTTTCTCCGTAGAAATAATTAATATGTTACATTTGATACTGTGTGTTTCTGCAAAACAATAACTGTTCATGTTTCGCAGTAAAGCATACACTTTACCTTCCATTATAAACTTTTCAAGGTAGACTATTTCATTTGCTTCAAATTCATCATTTATGAAATATTGCATCTCATATTTTATACCATTTCACTGTTAATAAATCAATCTCTACTATATTTATCGTTTCAGTGTACTTTGCCATAAAAAAATATTCGTTGTTTTCAAAGACACCATCATTTTTTTTTACGGCAATCAGTTATTCTGTATACATTGTTGTCTTGATCATCTTGAAAAAATCAGGAACAATGATTTGAGCCGGATAACATGAATTTATTTTCTTTCATCAAGTTCTCATCAATTACTTGATGAGCATAGTGGATTGAAATAAAACTGAGTAGATTGATAAATATTTTTATAAAAAAAAAGCTCAAGATACTTTGGATGGATATACGGTCAATAAAAAACCAATCATTATTCTTCTCAACTTCAAAGGTGATGATGTCGCAGGGAAAGATAGTAGAAAGTTGGGTATCTTAAAATCTTTCTATGTAATTATCAAGCAAACAATCCTCTGTCTTCTAAAGCTTGTTAAAGGCATTGCTATGTAATCTATGTTTTAAAAGAGATACTATTGTTAAACTTCCTCTATCCTTGATGACATAAACGTCGATTCGTTAAATCACAATGCTTTTCAAAATATTCATTTAATTCATTATTGCGTTTCTCTTTTTCTTTTGCTTATCTTACAGTTCAATAACTTTCATTGCTAACTAACCAATATTTTGTTTATCATTAATGTATGTCTGTTACGTAACGACTTGTTTCTCTAACTCTTTAGTTTCTTTCTTCTTACTATCATGTCGCTTTATCTAATGTTTGTATATTTGAAACTTATATCTGATCTCTTAAAATTTATTGACATCTTCCCTATATTATGTTTATGTATAGTTACAACAAATCTCGCCGAAATTTATAAATATATTTTTAACTCTATAATTTTGATCATCAAATATTACAGGTGGTGAGGAGCTAACAAGAGTCCAACGAAATAAAATGAATTCATGTTATTCGGCTCAACTCTTTGTTCTTGCTCTCTTCAAATTGACAAATTGGCTGAAGGATCTCCTATAAAATTAAGTTAATTTTGATATTTGCATTCCAATTACTTACCGTTTGAAGAAGATCCAAATTATGGTTTTAGATCTTATTCAAGACTAGTGGATGATCCATATCACTCCTGTTTAATTTTTCTGTTAGACAAAACTGATCAGTCATGAAAATCAAACAATCTTACGCACATGTACATCAGTTTAAGGTTTTAAAGTTCATCAAGCTGAATACCAAAGAAGCAGTTCTATTAGTATCAGTCATAATTAAAAAACTTTAAAAATTATGTTTTAAGATGAATAAATGAATTCGTCGATACAAAATTGTAATTGACATTTGTGTATATTCAGGATATTTTTTTACAGTATTTTTCAATAACTCAGTTAGCTACAATCTAGAACTTCGTACATAAGTCCAAGTTGTCGTACTGCATGAGCACAAACAAATGAAAATTATCAGTTCAAATCTCTTGATAGTAGAGGTTGTAGCAATATTAACGGTAATGGAAAATCTCAGGGATCGAAGATATATATATTTATAATCAAGTAGACTGAATAAGAAAAGGGAAGAACAAGATAATGAGGAATCCAAAACAATAGGATTTGAGAGAAGACAAAGAATATATACATTTTCACCATTGCAAATAGTTTTGAACCATGTCGTTTACAGTTCCTGACCACCGTTTACAATTGTCTCGCAAACCCAAAGCAAGTAGTTCACACATATTAACATGGCTCAGTCAAATCGTCAATTACTTCATGCTCTGACAGCAGGGGTTAATCCGATCCTGCTGCTCCCCTTCGCTTTAGATTACTTATAGCATTTCCATCATCATTAAAAGTCGAAGGACATACACCAACGTGCCTATAACGTCGATTGTGATGGTGGATGATTAAAGACTCCGTATACGTCAATGGCACGAGATTCTAAAGTCTCAGCTAAGAAAGCATGCTGTCCTATTTGGCACAAGTTCAAAACACTAGAGGCTCCAACATGTATACAAGAGTGTGGTTTCAGTAGTAAAGTTTCGTAAACTTGGTCCACTAGCAAGGTGACAAAAATATGCAAGAACGGTAAGTCGTGGGAATGAAAGGTTGTCAAGAAGTTGAGAAACGATTCGGAGGTGAACAAGTTGATATCGAGTACTGTCATGGGTATGTGGTTAGTTGTCACTTCCCGGCTGCCCACACCGTGAAAAAATATAAATAATTATTAGGAACTTCTCATTATAAACGTGGATAAAATTGCTTTTTTAATTTGAAAAGACTACTCTGAAATGATCACTGAATTGTTATGATGAATAGCAAAGAACTTATTCTTATTGCGTTTTACATTGAGCTGTCTCATTTGTGAAACAAGCAGTTACATTTTGTACTTTACGTTATTTCATTTTTAAACAATAATAGAATTAAAATGGATATATTTTTAAGTTTCATGTGTATAATGTTTAGATTTTCTGATGTAATTTACTCAGGGACAACAAACAATCATGCATTCGTAATCTGTGCAACATTGAGCATCGACCTGAAAATTGAAGCGTTCGATTTTCGGCCACCCTAATCTCACTCAACTTATTTCATTTCGAGTAGCCTCATAGTTCCATTAGCCTTCAGATATGAAGCATAGACTCAAGTATCCGGTGAATGAGTTAACTTATCCTATTTATTACTACTTCTCTATGAATTCATTAAATTCGAACTTGATAAACTTTGTTGTAATACAGTTTTATTCGTTGACTGTCATCGAATACTACGACTCTGCTTGGAGGAATCTTCAATCACATAGATTAAATGTATGACGTCAAATAAGACCTATCCATTTCGTGTCATTTTACCCATTAATCTACCTCTCGTTCGTTCTGATATTTTGTTGTTTGCCATTGTTCTCATTTTACGCTATTATAAATACGTCACATCGGACCGATAAACCTTTGTAGTATAATTTTTATTTCCTAGTCTATTTGTCTCTTGTAATTGTAATTATGTTTTTTATGTCACCGCTTAGTGTAATGAAAATGTTTTTTAATGTACAGCTCTACGTGGTTGGCTTCGATTTAAGCGTTTCGTGATTCAGTTTCTTCACTTATTATCATAATAAAATAATAATATATTTGAAATATATCAACTAGTTGGAAATAAAATTTCTAACGTTACACAAATTTGTGTAAATCGCTTCTTTCTAGAATAAATAAGTAATCAAATTAGACTGATACAATTTTAAGTAGTACAGAAGATGCATTAAAAGTTTTCTCTGGTTTTCAGAATTATCGTCCAACTAATGAAGATATAGTTTGGTCACGTAAACCAACGGAATCTATTATTGAAGAGGAAATAAATGTTTACGCATCCTCACTTGTATTTATTGATGTTGGTGGGCAAACCAAAGAACGTCGTAAATGGTGTAAATGTTTTGCTGATATGACATCTGTCTTATTTCTTATTGCTTCTAGTCATTATGATGAACATTATCAAGATCGACTAACTAAAGAATTTAGAAATAAATTACATGAAGCTATGATTGTTTTTGAAGGATTTGTCAATCATGTTGCTTTTAGACGTGTTTCTATTATTATATTTTTCAATAAAACTGATATACTTAAAGAAAAGTTAAACTCCCGTACATCCAATATTCGTGATGAATTTCCTAATTATCCTCTGAAATTGGATCCATTTCGCCTACAAGATGTCCAAACATTTATGGTTGATGTTTTTGCTTCTTTAGTAAATCACAATTTTCCACCAGATACACAAGCTCGTTCAAGCCTTTCACACTCATCATTCAATAATACTACTAAATATTCATCACTTTATCGAAAAAGCTCTGTACCTATGTCGACCAACTTAACATGTACAGGGCCTGTCCGTAAACGTATGGTTTATCGGCATTTCACAACTGCTGTAGATAGGCGAAATATCGAAACAGTATTTAATGCAATGCAAGATACATTATTACAAAATAATTTACGCCGTATCATGATGAGCTGAATAAATATGTATTAAATTTTCAAATATTTTGATTATAAATTTTTTGTTTCCGTTTTCTGATTTAGTTTATGATGTTGTTTGCGCCTCTGAATCTCGGTGAACATACTATCTATATCTTCCAAAAATGAATTATACATCATACTATACTTATCATCATTGTGTGTGCCAAAAATTATGCGCTTATCATTTCATTCATTATTTTCCTATCCAATCGTAAATTGTCTTTCATTCTACTCAATTCTTATTATATAAATATATGTGCTTTTTGAATTTGTAATCATTCCTTACGGATTCTCAGCGGGTATATGGATGCACAATACGATAAAAGTGTAGGCACCTATCAAACATATATAGCAATATTGATTTATTCTATTTGATTTGTGTAAATAATATATTGTTTATTTTTCCATATATATTAGCTTTTTTAAGTACTATCCTCATTCTTATATTTTGTTGTTCTTAGCCCATTCATGATTCAGTGCTTTTAAATCACGAGTTTCTTCAACATATTATCTTTTTTAATATCTTGTCTTGTTTTTTGCTATAAAGCGACTGTTTCATACTTTTCAACTTGTTAGAGTTGTTGACTTATAAACATGTTTTGTTTATTGTAATTATGTCTGGTGTACCTGAAGGTTGTTTATGTAACAATAAAATAAATTGACTTTGGTCATGCTGAATGTTTATTAGTTTATTTTAAAAAAATTTGACGTATTTAGAGAACAAAACCAATCTTTTTAGTGTGACTAGTTAGATGAGATATTTTGTATGTACTGCAAGCGATTCCATCTACATTAGTTATCTTCAGACGCTTTACTGAGTTACATTTTGATTTCGAGATGAGATTATTTACTTCTGCTGACCGACACGTATTTACGACAACTTTTACTCGTAAATTTGTAACATATGACTTCATACCTCGAGCGAGTGACGTGTAAGGCGATTTTTGCATAGTCACTTATAAATACTGTTTATATCAAAATTGTAACTTTTAGTAGTTTTTCTGCTTGATCTAATTCCATGCACTGTTTCATCTTGGATGAGGAAGGGCCATGAGTTTCGATACCTCTCCACCTGCTTATGTCTGAGTAGGTGGGTAGTACTGCTACTACGTTACTCACATAGTACTCCTACACAGCAACTAGCTCACATCATTCTTATATTTGTTCGTGGAGTTGAGTTCGATTACTTCCGGAAGAAATCAAGTTTTTTATCTGATACTTCAAATAGACGATTAATATTTTACTAGGTAAATACCAAAGGTGATCCGTTGGCTGGACAATATCAGCAACAACCTACTGTGGGAAGGAACAAACCAGATTACATCTGAGGAAGAAATTAGGAAAAAAACGCTGAAGATGGGTCGGACATACATTGCAAAACTGTGTCACGAGGCAGGCCCTAACTTGGAATCCTCGCTGTCAAAGGAAAAGGAGCAAACCAGAGAGCACGTTGTGCTGGGAATTTCAAGCATGCATCGAAATAATGAATCGCACTTGGGAAATTCACGAAAGAATTGTTTGGAGAATCTTATTCAACGATAACAGGCGTAATCGAGTAAGTAAAATAAGGTAGATACTGAAATAAACTTACTGTAATAGTTTACTCCCAACAATAACCAGGATTTCTTCACATAGAGAAACAGTTGGGATTAGTGGTAAATACTTGCCAAAACTAGTTCGTTTTTCTTTCGTAATCGCATCGAATAAATGATCAATACCTGATTTTTAATTTGAATGATACATTCGAATTAACATTAGTATGATTCTACAGTATCTAGATCTTATTGAACATCTATAGTTATAATTTTTGTTGATAATACTGTTTTCTTATAAAAATAGGTTAATTAAATATAGATAGATACATTCGATTCGTCAGTAGTATGTACTACAAGATTACCACAGTTTTGACTATTTACTTAATTCTCTAAGTTAAATTATAACCACAAAACATTCAGAAATACAGGCTCCCCCACTACTCACTACTTTAGTTAAACATATGTTGCCTATCAAAACTCAGCAAGCTAACTTGCTTGGTAATCCACCTGTTTTACTAAGATTGATATTCTCTTAAAGTGGTACTTATTTGAACAGTTGTATTCTCTTAAGTTGGTTCATCTGCGACATACTATTCACCCACCTACACATAACCTTGGTTAATATGATGGTCGGACTCTCGTATTGTGATGACCCAGTCAAGATACATTGGTTGAAAAAATTGTTCCTTTTGATGTGATGAAGGTCGGTCAAAGAGTGGTGAAACTAAGAGCAGCGAATTAAGGTCAGTAGACGAAGTCAAATTGGTGACTGTATAGGGTGGTGATAGCGATAAGTTTCTCCATTCGGACTACCTGCAGATCCAGCGATACTGCCTACTCTTAATGAAAGGAGTGGTTTAGAAAAGGTCAGCCCTAAAAATAGAATACCTTATAGACTCCAGTCTTCGATGGCAGGGTCATCCACTTGATTTCACCTAACCGGCATGGACAGCCAGCTTGATAGACCCGTCTTATATCTGGTGATCCGACAGCAGCTTCCCGTAATCTTTGAATTATAGGTATGGCATTAAGTCTGAAAGCATAAAATAACAGGTACATTTTGACTGGAATCCTGCCAACTGTCACTTACGTGCTTCCCGTCTCAGTAACACAATTAGAACTCGGAGAGATGATAAAACGCCATTATTTCTTTGCCGTTTGTCCCTATGTCTCCATTGGCTGCTGTTCCAACGTAATGGGAAATGAATTCACATAAGCCGTAAGCTCTTACTCGGCCAGTAGTGTTCAAGTAGAGAGCTTGTAAGACGTCAATATACTTCTTTGGCAGGCCTTTCAATAGCAGGCACCATCATACCACCTCACGATCAACTGAGTCTAATGAATACAACAATTGCGGGGCGCCGAAATGTGTGTATATGTTCAAAGACCTGACGTAGTGTGAATATGTGGTCGATACATCCACGTTTAGGTCTAAACACACCCTGACTTTGTCGAATCCGCTCTTCACGAGCTCTAATTAGGCGTCAAAGTGCTATCGAGGCTAATATTTTAGACACCCTATTAGTCGAATCGATTTCTCTGTAATTGTCACAAAATGACTTCTGTCCTTTCTTATAAACTGGGACAATCAGTGGTTGAGATCGTTCAGATAGGATTACGTCTAGTTTCCAGATTTTACTTAAGATCTCAGTCAGTCTAACTATTAAAACTGGACCACCATCCTTAAAAATCTCAGATCCTGCTGCTCTCCCTCGTTTTAGATTGCCTATAGCCTTTTCAACCTCATTGAGACTCAGAAATTACATCGACTTTCCAACCAGGTTGACTGGAGATCTTGGGTAACCGAAGTGTGGCTGAAGATCAGTTGAACTACTTCCTAAAGTGTTCCGCCAATCGATCCAATCTCCTAGATTGAAAAAGAATAGTAAGCCCATCATTTTCCTAGGTAGTCTCGCTAACAGTCGAATTCCTAATACCGGTTTCCCTGATAGGCCTAAATAGTTGTCTACTGTCACATATTACCACTGCCTTTTCCATGTCTCTTGCTTTCGTTACCCACCACTGCTCTCGATCATCGTGTAGACTTCTTATCAGCCTGAGCTTGAACTGACTTCGCTCTTCGTCATGTTTGGAGCCAGATGGGACAAGTTTACTAGCATCTGTCAGTCCAGTAGATGCTGCTAAAATCCAGTGTTGTTCCTCAACCTTGTGGTTTACCTTACAAGCAGATATCACTGCTGTTTCTGCGGCTTTTAGGATAACATTCAAAGCTGCCTTGGGGGCGGTAATCACTTATATAGCTACCTAATTGTTTTTCTTTTCGTCCCTGAATTATATTCTTAGCTTTATTATCATTAAGTAGAACCCCAAGAGGTTTTCTTGCTGTGTATTTGTTACATCCAGTACGAAGGGATTGATTGTGAACACTTCAGTCTCGTGTGCAGTCACGGGTATAATGGCAGAGGTTACTTCCCCGCTGCCCATACCGTGGAAAGGTAGTTGAACCACTTCTTCCGGGGCCTGGAAAGGAAGCGGTGTTAGTGTTGTTCCTAGCGACCTGAGAGCGTGACCGCACAGATCGAGCAACAACTGCTTGGCTCCATTCTATACAAGTTCTTACCCCAGGAAACGTAAATTCATAGGTTAAACCAAAGTGTGACATTTCTAGTGTCGACGTTTTCCAACCGCTTCCTTCCAATTTAGAAGGCAACATCGCTCCACATGCTCGTTGTCCAAGGGAAGTATATCACCGCTGTCATATCCCTCTACAGTCAGCAGTACGACATCCCCCTCAGCCTTACCGTTCTCCAACCAACCTACCTCGCATGGTAGGACGTAAAGGAACGTATGCTCCAGTAACACAGCTCGGTTTAGTCGTCGTGGTAGGCAAGCCCGACCACTGCATCAAGGTACCTGCTGCGGTCGAGAAATAAAAATGTGTAAGTCAGTTACAACGTAGAACTTCTTACGCTCGTACGTCAGTTCAGGTTGCCATACCGCATTAGCACAGAGAGGCGACTGTCAGTTCAAATCCGATAGTTATAGCGATTGTAGAAGTATTAGCAGTGATGGAGAAGATAAGGGAGCGAAGATATGACTCGAGAAGTATTATTCAGTGAGAAAACTTTAGCAAGAGAAAGATAGAGATTACGAGGAATTCAGAAGGTTAGGATTTCACAGAACACAAAGAATGGATGCACCTGCGCCATCGCAAACGATTTTGAGCCATGTTATTCAAGGTATCTAACCATCGAATACTATCATATCGCGGACCCCGTACACGTAGTCTACATCTAACGATATGACTCATTCCACCTGTCAGTGACTTCATGGATTTGTGCCATGATTTGGTCTATATGCCCCTAGCATTCGTCAAACCTACTCCTACACCACAAAACATAGCTCGTCGCGGCAGTCGATAGTTAGGCATACGTAACACATGTCCGGACCACCTCAACTGATGGGGTTTAACTAGAACATCAATTGATTTGCCATCCCTACATAGTACTCGTGTCCTAACGACAGGATTGCTTACTCGGTGGTCGCAGGATACATGAGTATGGCTTCGAAGAGATGTATAAACGAATAGAAATAACCTACGAATGTTTTTTACTCTTATCGGCCATGTTTCACAGCCATATAGTAGGACGAAGCGAACTGCTGCATAGTACACTCGTCCTTTAGTCAGCAAAGGGATATTTCGCCTTCGTCATACGTGGCGCAAGTTGGCAAAAGCCAATCGAGCCTTCTGTATCCGTGCTGAGATTCCGTCAGTCACTAGGCCATCAGCACTGATGAGACTACCGAGGTAAGTGAAGCGGTCATCACGCTGAACTACTTTACCTTCCAATGCTAGTTCACATGCCGATACAAGCCAATCTTGAAGCAACATTTTGCATATTGAGGGGGGAGAATCGCATCCCGAACATGCTTGCGTTGTTGCTTAGGGTAGTCAGGAGACACTGCATTTTGTCAGCGTCTTCACCAAGTACAACTATGTCATCAGCATACTCTAAGTCAACAAGCGTGTCTCCTGGAAGAAAGTCCACTTCTGAAGAGTCAGACGAAGATAACGTTAACTCTAAAAGCCTGTCTACGACAAAGTTAAACAAGAATGGGGAGAGTGGACAGCCCTAATCGACCACTTGAAGTAATGAATTCCGATTACAGTTCGTCATATGCTCCCA